GTGGCATGATCCTTTAGCAGATCAACTTAAAAGGAAGAAAGACACACCTGACAAGTGGAGGCATACCTTGTCTTGTCAGCACCCACAAACCAAACCAAAAACTGGAGGAGAGATTTTCTCTTGCTCATGGTTCAGTTTATGGTTGGTTGGCTCCTTTGGTTTTGGAACTGTGGAGAAGCAATGTTGTGGTGAATGTGGGGTAGCACACCTGTTCATCTGCCTCGTGGCTGTCAGGAAGCAGGGAGGGGAGAGGGACATGCCTCCAGTGACCTCCCATTGAGACTTCACCTTCTCAGGTCTCTGACACCTCCCAAAAGTTCCACTGTTTCTACACACATCCGAGCCTTCGAGTAGCATACCAGACGCAATGGTAATACCAGTCCTTCCTGTTTGAGCTTTTCTAATATACCAGAAGGTGCATCTGTATGTCCTGCACACCACCCATTTGTAGAACTGCTGTGCACCATTTTCTGAACAGTGAAGCTTAAAATTTCTTAGTCTTTTTAGAATGTTGCCACATTTTTATTTAATTATTTTGTGTGCATGTGTGTATGTGGGCTTGTGCATGTCTGACTGAAAGTCGTCTTTTATTCCTAGTGCCTAATACAATGCCTGTGAATATAGTAAATACTAAATAATTTACCCGAGTTAATGAAATGGCATGAGATCTTCGCCATTTATAATTAACCCTTTGGTAAAATTCATTCAGAAACTTAATTAAAGTGCACTTAAAATTAGAAGACTTAAACTGGAGTGGTGGTATGTGCCTTGATTCCCAGCAGAGGCATTTCAGATCTCTGAGTGCTAGTTCCGGGTCAGCCAGCGCTACACAGTGAGACCCGTCTCAAAAAACAAACAAAATTAAGATTTAATGTATACTTACTGTAATCTTATTGTCCATAACAGTTCAGTTTGTCAGGGAGGAAAATGTTGGAGATTAAACCAGGGCCTCCGCATGCGCTAGACGAATGTTCTACCTCATATTATAGAACTTTGAAAAAAAAATTACTATGTTTATTTACTGAGCCCACCTGTAGAGGCCCACGGACAACTGAGAGATGTCAAGAGACGTCAACTCTTTTACCACAAGGGTCCTGGGGATCAAACTTAGGTAGTCAGGCTTGTCAACAATTGTCTTTACCTGTTTACTTCTCCTAGTATAGGTTTTTTGTTTTGTTTTGTTTTGTTTTTTTAGATGAAGTCCCATAACATACTCCACACTGACCGCAAACTTGTGGTCCTATTGCCTTAAGCCTTCTGAATGTGGGATTACGAAGCATTGCTATGCCAAACCTTTCTTTGTAATAGATTTTTGTTACACGATAATGACTTTTCTCCTGATCTTCTGTAAGACCTAAGTGTGCAGTTTTGTGTGTGTGTGTGTGTGTGCGCGCGCTCTAGGAAGATCTATACCTTACACCTAGTGCAGCTTAAGATTTATCTCAGGGAAGTAAGTGAGATGTACAGTGTAGTACTTCATTTATAATTATTATTGATTATTAATTTTAATTATTAAATGACACTTGGCTTATGCTTTATTGATAGAAATATAGCAGAATACATAAATACAGTGGGATGTAATGTTTATAATTACTTTCATGTTGATGTGATTGTATTTATGTAGAGAAGAAATAAAGGAAAAAAGAACTTGGATTTTATTGTTGGGTTTATAATCTGCCAGTGTGTGTGTAGTTTGCAAAAATTCCCAGCCAGTGAATAGATCAGGAAAGGTAATTTTTGTTTTTGTGCCAATCATGGTTCCTGGCACACAGCAAACACTAAATAAAAATTGTTTAAATTGAATGGAAGATGTAGAAACTGGGTTTCTTCAGGGAATCTTGTGACCAGCAGAAGCTTAGGAACTGACGAGGTCACACTCGTGGCTCAACCTGCCTCTCTGCCGCCCAGAGGTGCTTCTTTAGGGAATTAGGGATTTGAGACTGAAGCCCAGGCATTAATGGGATGCTAGGCAAGTGGTCTACTACTGAGCCACATCCCACCCAGCCTCTTTGTGTTTTTTTTTTTTTTTTTTTTTTTTTAGATTTTGAGACTGGAGCTTACTTTACTTATTAGGCTGGCCTTAAACTGTTTGCAGTGGCCTCCCAGGTTTTGCTATTACAGACCTGTGTGAAAGCGTTAATGGCTGTTATTTTTTTCAAAATATTTAATTATTTATTATGTATACAATATTCTGTATTCTGTCTGTGTGTATGCCTGCAGGCCAGAAGAGGGCACCAGACTCCATTACAGATGGTTGTGAGCCACCATGTGGTTGCTGGGAATTGAACTCTGGACCTTTGGAAAAGCAGGCAATGCTCTTAACCTCTGAGCCATCTCTCCAGCCCCAATAGCTGTTATTTTTAAAGTGGTCTGAATTTGTTTATAAATCACTTTTGCAATTTTTCTCCCAGAATTGTTGTGATTGTTTTCTTTCTGTTTTTCCTTCTTTCTTTTTCTTACCCTTCACCCCATCTCTGAGATAGGGTTTCTCTGTGATAGCCCTAACTGTCCTGGAACTTGATTCATAGACCAGGCCAGCCTCGAACTCACAAAGATCTGCCTGCCTTTGCCTCCCGAGTGCTGGGGTTAAAGGCATGCGCCACTACCACCTGGCAGAATTTCTCATATTTTAACCTTGGTTCCAAAAGAGGAAAAATTGAAATTGGTGTTAGGACCACAATCATTCCGAGCTTCTGTTATGCAGTGTGTGTGTGTGTGTGTGTGTGAGCCACAGCAAAACCTCTGATTAATTCTTCTGCGGGTATCTACCACCTTTTTTTTTTCTTAAAAGGACAGATCTTAGGGAGGGGGAGGGGAGGAGGTGGAAATTTTCAATAAAAAAATAAATAAAAGCAAAAAAAAAAAAAGACAGGTCTTCTTACGGAGACCTTTGGGGCTTGCTGATCAGGCCAGACTGGCCGGCAAGCCCCAGGGATCTATTTGTGTCTTCCTCCTCTGCCCTACTTTTTTCTTGTCTGTTTTTTGAGATGGGATCTCACTGTATAGAAAAGGATGTCCTGGAACTTACAGAGATCTGCTTGCCTCTCCCTCCTGCTTGTGGAGATGAAAGGCTTGTGCCACCATGCCTGGCCTAATTTCATGAACGTTTATAGTAACAGAATGAAGAAAGCTATGAAGTCAAGATACTTTTCAAATACATTGAGTACATCTGGTAAGCAGATTCTAGCAAAATGAGAATTCTGCTATAGGACTTTGCTACCCCATTCTTCCTTGGCTTTTTTTGTTTTGTTTTTCTGAGACAGAGTTTTTCTGTGTAGTCCTGGCTGTCCTGGAACTTACTCTATAGACCAGGCTGGCCTCCAACTCAGTAGATCTGTCTGCCTTTGCTGCCCATTAGCTCAGGCTACTTATTAGCTTAGCATATATTAACCCATTGTTCTTATCTATGTTAGCCACATGGCTCAGTACCTTTCTCAGAGAGACAGATCACATCCTGCTTCATAGGTGGTCTGGGCAGGCGTGGGGAAAAGCTTCTTCCCAGAAAGCTCCTGTTTTCATCACCCTGCCTCTACTTCCTGTCTGGTTGACCCGCCCATACTACCTGCCTGGCCAATCAGCATTTATTTAAAACATGATTGACAGAATACAGACAATTCTCCCACACCACCTTTTCCCTCTTTTTCTCTCCCTCTGCTTTTCTCTCTCTACCTGTCTCTCTCCAAGGCCTCATGCATACCAAGGGAGTGTTCTTCCATGAAACTGTATTCCCAGTCCTTGGAACTCTTCGGCTTGTGAACCTGGAATATCTCACTGTAAATGAAACAATATCCCCTGCTTCTGAACCTTAGCAACCTTGCCCTTCTGTGTCTGGCTCTGTGGTTTGACTTTGGGTACTGTGCCTAAGGAGAAGAAGAATAGTGCTTATCTTTTTGTGACTGGATTCTTCCACTTGGCATGATGTCCACAGAGTTCATCTATATTGTAGACTGTCAGGATTTTCTTTCTTTGTCAGGCTGTAGCATTTGGAAGGGGTGACCAGCACATTTTATCTATTAGTGAACATGTAGGATGTTAGATCTTGGCTGATCATGCCCCCTATTTCATTGTGGGTAAACAGCCTTTTTGATATTTCTTTGCTCAGTTACTAAATAACAATTTCTTACATTATTTGGATTAAATCAGATAATACATACATTGCTTAGAGTGGTATGTAGCGTATAATAAAAGTTAAAAAATGTTGTCATAACTAAGAAAGGACCCCATTTATTAGCTCAAGCACCCATTCAAAAGTACTGCAGTTGGTCTGTCATTTAGATAAGAAAAAATAGTTTTAAAAATCATTTGATATAATGGGGGGACTGGGAGGAGAGGGGTGAGGGAAAACTGCAATGGGGCTGCAAAAATAAATAAATAAATCATTTGATAGAGGCTGGACATGGTAGTGCATGTTTTTAATCCCAATACTTGGGAAGGAGAGGCAGGAGAATGTCTGAGTTTGCAGTCAACCTGGTCTACGTAGCAAAACACAGGACTGCCAGGATTACATAGACACTGTCAAATTGGACTGGAGAGGTGGCTCAGTGTTTAAAAACACTGACTGTTCTCCCAGAGGACCTGAGTTCACATGGGGCCACTCAAAACCACCTGTAACTCCAACCTCGGGGTCTGACTTTACTTCCATGCATACACATCACATACCCTCAGACAGCTAACATGCGTATGCACATAAATAAAACAAAGTCTTACAAAAAATAATTAATGGGAGAGGAAGTAAAAATTTGGTAACTCTCAGCTTTTCCCTGGGTGAAATCTGGGACAGCAAGGTCCATCACTGACCTCTGTGTACCTCTTTGATTCTTTTTTCCCCACACACATCTGACCTTCAGAAGAGGTAGAGTGGCTGCCCTGGTAATGTCAGTAGCAGTAGTGGATGAGTTCATAGGAGAAGCTGGAGCCATTCCAGTGAGAAGAAAGTTTGCCTGCGTTCAGTGAGGATGTTTTACATGTCTTAAGTTTTTTTCTTTTCTCATTTTTTTTAGCCAAACCCAACAGGAAGCTTACTTTTCTCTACCTGGCCAATGATGTCATTCAGAACAGCAAACGGAAAGGACCAGAGTTCACGAAAGACTTTGCGCCAGTCATAGTGGAAGCGTTCAAGCATGTTTCAAGGTAGGGTCCTTTTTGTACATGAGGTAAGAATATATGGAATGTACATAGTGGAAGCGTTCAAGCATGTTTCAAGGTAGGGTCCTTTTTGTACATGAGGTAAGAATATATGGAATGTATTTGTTGGAAGCTTTTTTTAATTTGTAATTTGATGGTTTTTGCTTTCTGTGAGGATTTGAGCTGCTGCTGAGGGCATTTGGAATACTTGAATCATGGCTTTCCTGTAAGAGACCAGAATGCCTGCTTTCTTGGGATGAATGTCACTGAGAGTAAAGGAACTGAACTGTAAATGCATGCTTGTAGAACTCCATCTTATGTTTGACATTTCTGAACTTACTTAATACCACAATATTTTTATGGTTTTCTCGTGTGTGTGTATTTCCTAACATTTTTAAGTACTTTAGAAATGAAGAATATGGGACTGGATGGCTCAGCAGTTAAGAGTACTAGCTGTTCTTCCAGAGGTCCTGAGTTCAATTCCCAGCACCCACATAGTGGCTCACACTGTCTGTAATTCAAGTTCCAGTGGATCTGACATCTTCATACAGATATACATGTAGACAAAACACCGGTGCACATAAATAAAAAATTTTTAAAAACGAATGAATATTTAATCATAAACTTTTCAAATTTTTCTTCAGGTAACTTTGTGTGTGGAAATCCTAGTTTATGCATTCTAAATATTTATATTTCATTTGTTTGTGTTTGTGTACATATGCCACAGTTGGAGATTAGAGTTGGACTCAAGTCATGAGGTGTGAGACAAATACCTTTTATCTACTGAGCCATCTGGCTCTGTCTTACATACTTATTTTCAAATATTATATGCTGAAATGTAATAGATTTCCTGGGCAACAGTGCTGAATAAGATAGTAAATCAGGCTGAGCTTCAGCATACGATGGTACATGGCGATCACATCCATTAGTGCTCTAGGGGTGAGAATGCCACGTCAGGTGTTGCTGTTACTGCTTTCTTAATGTCATGTGACCTGCAGTTTCCACATTGCCTTCTACCCTGCAGAGCTAAGTGCTACACCTTTCTCTCTCTCTCTCTCTCTCTCTCTTTCTCTCTCTCTCTCTCTCTCTCTCTCTCTCTCTCTCTTCCCTTCTCTCTGAGACAGAATGTGATTATGTAGCTCTGGCTGGCCTGGTACTCATTGTGTAGACTGGCTAGCCTTGAACTCTTCATCTCTGCCTCTCCCTCCCAAGAATAAAGGCCCAAGTCTGGCTCAGTTGAGACTTTTTTCTTCATTCCTGAGCTGTATGCCCAGTTACTTGTTGATGTTTCTACCCGGGTGTCTCACACTCAACTGTCTGACTATGAATTATGTCCTTGTTTCTGCCAAATTTGCGCCTTCTCTAGGCCTCATTATCTCAGGGAATGACAGCTTCATTTGTGCTGACAGCATGATGGGTGTCATCTACGCTTCCTTCTCCTTCACTGCATGCTCCATGGAGCACACAGCCTGCCGGGTGCCATTTTCCTGACTAGTTACCGTCATCTTTTCTTGCTGGTACAAGTAGCCACTCCCCTAGTATGGCTTGGTCCTCTGGGAAAACTGTAGGCAGAGTAGCAGAGTACTCATAATGCTCCCTTCTCTTTGAGCAAGACTGAAGGTGCTCCGTTGTGGAGCTTGTCTGCCTCTCTATACTCATGTGCACTGTGCTTTTCCCACCTGTAGTCTGCATTTTAAACTAACAGACCCTTTTCTAAATTCCTTGTACCTTCAGCTACTTTTTTGTTTGTTTTCAAGACCATTTCTTTGTATGTGCTTGACTGTCCTGGAACTAGCTCTAGCTCTGTAGACCAGGCTGGCCTTGAACTCACAGAAATCTTCCTGCTTCAGCCTCCCGAGAGCTGGGATTAAAGGCCTACGCCATGGCCACCCGGCAAAATAAATGTTTTTGTTTTTTTTTTAAGACAGGGTTTCTCTGTGTAGTCTTGGTTGTCCTAAAACTCCCACTCTAGATACTTTTATTTTTGAGATAGGATCTTATATATCCCAAGCTGACCCTGAACTTGGTATGTAGCCAAAAATGACTGAATTTCTTTTTTGTCTTTATTTTTATTTTTGATTGTGAATTTCTTATCCTCCTACTTGTCCCTCTCAAATGCTGCAGGGATTACAGACATGTACCAACATGCATGGTTTATGTGGTGCTGGAGATCAAGCCCAAGGTTTCATGTATGCTTGGCAAGTACTCTACCAATTGAGCTATATGCCCAGCCCCTATCTTATGCTTTTATATATGTTCCTCTCTAGAAAAATTCACCTACAGAAAAGATTTTAGGTAGGAAGAGTGAGCCGTAGTATTCTGGGCAAGTTTGAAGATCATCAAGGAATGTGGAGAGTTTGCCAGAAGCAGAGGCTGTGGGACTGTAGTTCAGGCTGAGGATTTGGGTTTTAGAGACTGTAGAGAAGAACTTGTTCTGATTTGACATAGGGTGGATATTTTTTAAAGTGGAGGAGTTGAGGCTGGAGATGAGTGCATGATGGTGGTATAAAACCCAGGCAAGGCACTCGAGCATGGCTCAGCAGTTAGGAGCATGCACAGCTCTTGCAGAGGCCCCAGGCTAGTTTGTCAACACCCACATGGAAGCTCACAATTGCCTGTAACTCCAGTTCCAGGTTATCTTAACCATGCGCGCACGTGTACACAAATACACTACAAAACCCAGGTGAGGTGGTGCTGAAGGAAATGACAAATGGTTGAAAGTCACCCATGTCCCATTTTCCTGTAGTTCCAGTCTTCAGTTTTGCATTTATTTGTTTGTTTGTTTGTTTGTTTATTTTGGTTTTTCGAGACAGGGTTTCTCTGTAGCTTTGGTTCCTGTCCTGGAACTAGTTCTTTAGACCAGGCTGGCCTCGAACTCCCAGAGATCCTCCTGCCTCTGCCTCCTGAGTGCTGGGATTAAAGGCGTGCGCCACCACCGCCCTGCCAGTTTTGCCTTTATTCCTCAGATAGTACCCCTGTTCTCTGACTGGTCTGGATCTGTCAGGGTGCTGTCTGTAGTACCACATCCTCATTCATAGTGCTTATGGACAACAGCTGCTGGGAAGTGCCCCTTGCTTTCTGTGCCTAAGACAGTGGTGGGTTCAGCAAACTTAAAACGTGCACTGTCCTTTAGCTCCTTTCACTTGCGAGCACTATCATTGTAAGCCCCTAGTGTCTGCTTCTGAAAATTTGACAATTAAAACCATTTGATTTGCTTTGTTCTCTTACTGAGTTTTTTGTTCTTTTAGGTTTTTGTTTGAGACAGGGTTTCTCTGTATAGATGTTACTGAGTTCTTAAGGGAAGCAAGGATGGTGTTTGCATCACATCTTGACTGAGCTGCTGCTGACGGTGCTCAGCGCACCTGAGTAGCTCTTGCTGGGAGCCAGCATTTGGTCCTATTTTAAATCAACATTACTTTGTGGTAGTGTTCACTATACATTTTTACTCAGTATTTTTTTTTTTTAATTTAGTGAAACTGATGAAAGTTGTAAGAAGCACCTTGGCAGAGTGCTGTCTATTTGGGAAGAGCGATCCGTCTATGAGGATGATGTGTTAGACCAACTTAAGCACGCACTCTGTAAGTATAGGGTCTTGATCTCTTTTCTCTGGCTCTCAGGAAAACACATCTTTCATAGACTTCCTGTTTTTAAATCAGATGGAGATAAGAAGACCAGGAAGCGGACTTATGACCAAATAAAGGTGGATGAGAATGAAAATTGTTCCTCTCTTGGGTCCCCAAGTGAACCACCACAGGTAAAAATACAAGGCAGCTGCAGGGTTTTTACTCCATGTGACCTCTGGGCTTTGATCATTTCAGTGTTCTGGGTGCAAGAAAGGCATATTTCTGGCTAACAAATTGCTTTTCTTTGACGTAGTATGGTGTGTGTGTGTGTGAAGATTTTGTTATTTTAGTTATGTATGTGTCTGTCCATGGGTATGTGCAAGTGAACATCCAAGGAGTTAGGAGGTGTCTGTTTCCCTGGGCTGGAGTTCCAGCAATTATAGGCTACCTACCTGTCATGGTCCTAAAAGCTGAACTCTTCTGCAAGAGCAGTTCATGCTCGTAACCACTGTAATACCTTAAGTGTTGTATTGTTTGCTTTATATAGGGAATGCATTTCCAATAGCTAAATATGAATAAATGTAGTGAAACACCCACTATTAACACTAAAGATTTTATTTTTACTGGGTGTGGTGGTGTACTCCTTTAATCTCAGCACTTGGGAGGCAGAAGCAGGCGGATCTTTGTGAGTTCAAGGCCATCCTGGTCTACAGAGTAAGTTCCAGGACAACCAAAGATACACACAGGGAAACCTTGTCTTAAAAACCAAAACAAACAAACAAACAAAAAACCCCCAAAAACTAAAAACCTTTTTTTTAAAAATAAAATACAACCAAAACATTTGTTATATGGCTTAAACTAAAATTCTATGCTTAGATGAACATTGCTTCCTTTAAATATTTTTTGTTTTTAAACATATAAAATGATTGCTAGAATGATAACAATAGGTGGTAGTAACACAATATATTATGTGTAAAACTTTTCAGGAAAATAAAAATTTTCTAGATTAATACTGTCTAGGTCAGAGTTAATAGCTGCCTTCTTTTTCCTCTGAGGTATCTACCATACTAGCCAGTCACTTACCTCAGTTTGCTAATTAGAAAAGTTTTTGCACTCTTTGCTTTCATAAACACTAGGGTGTGAACACCTCGAGGTCTAAAGCTGTGCCTCAAGTTCAACACTTAAAATAACATAGTTTTTTTACTTAACATATAAAAGAAGGATTGGGGACAAAAGAGATTGCTCGTCGGTTAAGATCACCACTACTCTTTCTCAGTTAAGCTCTTAACCTGAGAACCCAGGTTTGATTTTGTCCCAGCACACATTAGACAGCTTACCACTATCTGTAACTCCAGTTCCAGGGCATCTGGGTCTCTTTTCTGACCTCTGAGGTACCAGGTGTGATCAAGTTGTACAGACAGACATAAATGGAACAAAACACATGAAAAAAGTAGTCTAACATGTATTTTTTAAAAATGTGTCTTAAGAATGGTATATGTTGCAGACTTTTTGCTAATGAGTATTTCATAAGGATTAGGCATATGAAAGAGGTGTCAAGTCCTCTATATTTGTTAGAGCTTTATTTCTTTTGGTTCTGAAGTTGTGTAATTTTTTAGACTCTAGACCTTGTTAGAGCATTACAAGATTTAGAAAATGCAGCCTCAGGTGATGCAGCAGTTCATCAAAGGATAGCTTCTTTGCCTGTTGAAGTTCAAGAAGTGTCCCTGCTTGAGAAAATAACAGGTAAGAGTGAGGTCCACAGGGTTATCTTGGAGGTGGGTGTGGGAGCGGCTTGTCATTGTTTTGTTGTGCATTAATTGTATTACCTTGTGCTTTTCTTAGATAAAGAATCTGGAGAAAGACTTTCTAAAATGGTAGAGGATGCTTGTATGTTGCTGGCAGATTATAATGGCAGACTGGCGGCAGAAATAGATGATAGAAAACAGCTCACTCGAATGTTAGCAGATTTTCTTCGTTGTCAAAAGGAAGCCCTTGCAGAGAAAGAACATAAATTGGAAGTGCGTAACCTTTTCCTTCTTTAGTGCATTGTTATTTAATTTTCTGTACCTTAATGTATCTGTGCATCTTAGAGTTCTTGCATCATGGACTATTTTAGGCAGTGACCCAGGTAAGCTGCTTCTTGCCATCAGTTTTTCCCTATAGACTGCTTAAGTAAATGTAAAATTTTGGTCTTAGCAGAATTTGTTACATTTGAAATCATCTCTGTGAAATTTCATGTAATAGTAGAAATTTAAACCCTCTAAGCACAAACATAATAAGAAAAAGTCAAGTCTAGTAAGTCTTGTGTTAGTGGTAATTCACTAAGGTTGTTCAGCTTATTGAATTCCTATTCTTAGCACATACTGTTTTTTAGGTCCATCATTAAGTATTCAGATTACCCCCTCCACATGATTGTCACACTTAGTATATTCCCCCTCAGCCATACTCTCTGGGCTTCCACAGTGCTGTTCCGGAAAAGGTTATTGATGGATTAGGTATGGTTGTTACTGTTGGTGGAGTAGCCATTGTCAGCATAGGAGAACTGGGCTTAGCTTTGTTTAAAAGACCATTCAGTTAACGGGTTCTTACTTGAGTTGTTTTGAATTTCAGCGCCTTGTGAAAATGCCTTGAATTCAGTCCCTGTATTATAGACATCTCAATCTTAATTTGTAGGTCTATCATGGTGTTGCCTCATAAATTTTTTTATTATTTAATTCTTGGCTCAGCAGTTTCTCACTAATCCCCAGGTGATGCTTAGACTGGCCTGCTATTGCAGTTCTGAGAGAATTCCTTGATTATTCCACATACCAATGCTCCACTCTTAATTTTATGCTGTCCTTGAAGAGGTTGCCTGCTTGAAATGGAATAGATAAGTTGAGTTTCCTAGACCATGAATATGGTAGTTCACTTAACCTGTTTGTGATGATGTAGTGGCCTTCAGTCTTAATGTATCCTTCCTTGTTTCCCATTTGCAGTGGTATGGGTGAGTATGCCAACAGTTTTTGTCTTCAGCCTTTTGGTACAGTTTCTTTAACTTCTGTTGAGCTTCTATTGCAGGTATTGGACACGGCATATCTTCTTACGATGTCATCACCATTAGCATATTTCCGGCTAAAAATAAACATCAAACTCCAAAGCCTGTATTGTCTCATGTTTTTGAAAATTGAATAACGAAGATTTTTTTATTCTATTTAAAACTGCTTTCTCACTTTTGCTGTTGACTATCATTGGTTTCAAAAATAGAATTTATATTTGACATGTAACTGTAGAAAATAGATCACCGTCCCTGCCCCATTTGCTGGTACTTTCTAGCCAGATTTACTAGTTAATAGTCATACAGAGAGCTGATGACGTTAGCGCTGCCATTTACCATGTCTCTGGGGTACTGTTCAAGGCTCTTCACATAATCCTATACAACAGGACACATTATTATCCACACTGTATCTTCATGGAAGTAAGGCATGGGAAAATAAAGTAATTAAGCACTACTGGATTGTTGAGAACCCCAACAGTGCCTCCAGCATTGGTGCATTCATTCCAAAGTCATGTTGACTTTCTGTTCTTATAGAAAGTAGTATATCCCTTTTGAAAAATCAGAAGTCCTATTTTTCCAATGCTTTCTAATATACCCTTTCCAACTAATCACAGGCTTGAAATCAAGGAAGTTTGATTGTTCAGCATGAATGAATTTTAAATTGAAGCCACCTCAATTATGATCAGGGTTTTTGTTTTGTTTTTGTATTTTTAAGTCTTTCTAGTTTTTCAAGACAGGTTTTTTTCTTTGTACAAAACACTGGCTATCCTGGAACTCACTACTTGTAAACCAGGCTGGCCTTGAACTCAGATATGTCTGTCTCTGCCTGCTGAGTTCTAGAATTAAAGGTGTGTGCCATTATGCCCCAGCTCATTATCATATTTTTAAAGATTCCATTTTCATAAACTAGGAAGTTATTTAGCAAGAACTCATTGTAAATTGTCATTGAGAAGCCAAGGGTTTTTTGTTTTTTTGGTCATATGACGTGACAATGACTTTAGACATGCTTTGTATTAGTAGGTGGCATCACCCTGAAGTAGAGACTGGGGACTGAAAGTTTAAGGTTTTGTATCAGTTGCACTGTCTCTTAAACTGGTTTAAGTTATCGAGGTCAGTAATCACCATTGTTAGAAAGTGAAATAAAAGTATCAGTTTAAGAAGTGGTCTTGTCTTGAGGAAGTTAAGAAGTGGTTCATGTCTTGAGAAAGCCACTATTAAAACATTTGAAATGATGAAAATATGAAGTGCTTCTAACTGTTTTGGTAGTTTTGGATTAACTTTGATAAGTGAACAGATAATAGACTTTTAATCTAGGCTGTTGCACTTGCCCATAATCCTAGTATTAGTGAGACTGAGGCAAAGAAATCCTGAGATTAAGGCAGTTTATATAGCAATCTGACAGGGGTGGGGGATGAATGGATGGGTGGGTGGGTGGATGCTGGAGATGTGGCTCATTGGTTAAGAGCACTAGCTGCTCTTTCAGAGGACCTGGGTTCAATTCCCAGAACCCACGTGGCAGCGTACAACTGTTTGTAACTCCAATTCCTGGGGATCTGATACCTTCACACAGACAAAACACCAGTGCACATAAGATGGGGGGAAAAGATTTATTTGATCTGGAACCTCTTGCCTCAGCCTTCTTATTGCTGGGATTGTGTCTACCACCATAGGATAACTTAAAGTGACTCTTTGATGTGATGTTTTTTGGAGAGGGTACAATGTACAGATGAATCCCATATCAATGAGATTCCTGATTGCTTAGTTTTTAGAAGTTATGGAAGAAAACATGCTTTTATAAAATCAGTGCTTGCCACCTTTAGTCCCAGCTTTCAGGAGGCAGAAGTGGATGGAGTTCTTAAGTTCAAGGCCAGTCTGGTTTACAGAGTGAGCTCCAGTACAGCGAGGAGGCTACAGAGAAACTCTAGAAAGAAGCAAAATAAACACATGGATAAGCACACATAATGATAGTGCTTGCTAATCTTTGCAAACTGTGCACTTCCAAGTCTAGGAATAGATTATGAAGAAGGAAGCCATAATTCCAAACACTAGAAGTCATAATGAGAAAGCATATAGAGAGGATAAGTGCTTATTTGGTATGTGAATATTGATGATTGGCCGGGCGGTGGTGGTGCACGCCTTTAATCCCAGCACTGGGAGGCAGAGGCAGGCGGATCTCTGTGAGTTCGAGACCAGCCTGGTCTACAAGAGCTAGTTCCAGGACAGGCTCCAAAATCACAGAGAAACCCTGTCTTGAAAAACCAAAAAAAAAAAAAAAAAAAGTGAATATTGATGATTAAAGCTTGTTCTGGGGTAGGAAGATGGCTCAGTGAGTAAAGTTAATCTGGGCAAACATGAGAGCTGTTAGGATCCATAACCCTCTGTAAATGATGAGCACGGCAGCATGCACTTGTGATCCCAGCACTGGGAGGCAGACAGATCCTTTAGCTGAATCTGAGTTCCAGGTTCGGAGAGAGAAGACGCTTTCTCAAAGTGGAGAGCAGTGGAGGAAGACACCCGACTGTTGACCTCTGTCCTTCACATGCATTTGTGTTCAAGCACAGAAAGTTCCTTTCCCTTGAGTTGTCATGGTGCCTCTGTTAAACTGTATTCACTGTGTGAATTTGCTTAATATGGATAGAACCATAGTACAGACATTGTAAGATGTTGAGGATTGGTTTGCAGTAGGGAAGAGTGCTGGGGTTCATCTAGAAGGTCTCAGTCGTGCTAGTTATGTGCTCTCCCACAGTTATATTCCAAGCCAGGCTATCAGAGCCTGCAGCATATGTGTATGATTTCACCCATACTGAGTATTGCATATTTGGAAGTGTTTATTTTTCTTTCAGTTTCTTTTATCTTTTGACCAGTCTTGAGTTCTGATTTTATGACTTATTTTTGCCTGTGTGTATATATATATATATATATTTAAAATAGCCTTCTCTATCTATATAACCATAAAGGCCTTGAAATGTTTTGTATTATTTCTCAATAATTTTATTGAAATTTGTTTTGCATATAATGCAGAAATGTAGCAAATTGAAAGTAATAATTGCCCTTTTATTGATTGGTAGTAGGACAGGTATAGTGACTCAGGTCTTAATCTTAGTACACTGTGGACTGAAGCAGAAGCATGTGTTTGAGGCCAGCTTGGTCTTTTTTTCGAGACTGGGTTCCTCTGTGGTTTTGGAGTCTGTCCTGGAACTAGCTCTTGTAGACCAGGCTGGTCTCGAACTCACAGAGATCCGCCTGCCTCTGCCTCCCAGTGCTGGGATTAAAGGCGTGCACCACCACCACCCGGCCCAGCTTGGTCTTTGTATGATCTGTGTTACATACAAAGTGAGATTCTGCATCAACCTTCTCCCCTAAAACCCAAAATTAACGATTTCTTTACTAGTGTTGTGAAATGCTATTTCTGCCAAGCTTAATTCTTACATGTGCATACTGACCTGTAAGTTTTACACTTAATTGTGCAAATTGTGATTTTGATTGCTTTCTAATACCATTCATGTTTGCCATTTCAACTAATCATGGTTATTGTATGTATGCAATTTTATTTTTTCTCATTTTCAACTTTGTATTTTAATTGAGAGTGCTCATTCCTTTATCATGTCATGGGTCATTTTCCTCCCTGCTATTCATACCTAAGATAAAGTTTAATTAACAAGTTGGATATAATTAATAACAGTTTAATAAGCATATGAAATGTGGTTTCTCTCCCTCTCATATCTTGGTTTGCTGTAATAAAATTGGTGGATCCTGGTGACTGAGGATGACTGACACTGTGAGGGAGAAAAGACAGGAGGACTGCTTACTAGAAAGACCGCATGGAGCTCAATGTATACAGTGACTAAAGTCTGCTCAGCCATTTGAACAGAGAAAATGGCCATTTTTTTACCTTGTGAACGTGTACCTGTTTTGTTCCTCCCATTAGTAAGAGAGCAGCACCTGAGTAATCTATGACTACAGGGATGGAGTGAGCAGTGCTGA